GAAGGCTGCAGAAATACACCTGCCAAGAGGCTGCAGGAGACAGGTCAGCCAGGTGCGATGCCCTCGCAGAGGCGGGAGCAGAAGCGAGGTAGGACCCTGGGATGCTCCGTTCTGGCAGTGGGGACAGGCAAGGACGACAGCCCCTGCCTGGGCTGCTCGTGCCCTCTTGTGGCTGCCTGGCCATGCTGCACAGGGGACCAAACCTCCACAGAACAAGAGGAGACCCTCCCTTGCAGAGAAGGAAGATTCTTGTATTACTCTTTAATACAGACTCTGTAGGATCCTTAAAAAAAAAAAAAAATTATATCCCACTCTGGAGACAGCTCTCAATTCAAAATTTAGCTGCTTAACGCAGGGTGGCTGAGGAGCTGGAGAGCACAAAGCAACTTTAGAGTCATCTCAGCACAGACAACAGCCCACGCCGGACCCGCCAGGGAAGGGATACACAGACACAGCTCTGAGTTTGGCAGGAGGACAGCCCTTCTAATTACTCCATCATATCTGCTGTTGGCCCCGGTGCCTGCCTGCCATCTCCTCCCTGAAGTCCCCATCCACCCAGGGGAATCTGTTCTGGCTCTCCCGGCAGCTCCCTTCCGCTCACACCCCTTCCGTGCTCCAGCACTGGCACTGAGGGCACAAGCAGGATGGGCAGACACCACCAGCTCTGTTCCTGCTTCAAGACAGCCAGTTGGTTTCCTTCTCCATGCCCAGATGACTTGTCCTATAAAATAGCAACACCATTTGCAAAATGGTAACATCATTTTAGAAAAAGGCGTAGGACCTGTGGGTAAGCATCGCTGCTATCTACTGGGGTTCTCCGCATCCCAGAGGTGGCAGCCCCTTCCTCTGGGCGCCTGTTGAAACTGCGCTGCCTCCAGTGCCCTCCTCTCCATCCCACGATGTCAGATGCCAATGAGCGCGAATCCAGCCGGGGAAAATCTTACGCACCCTCACTGACCCGAACAGGCCAGGGAAATCTGAGAGCAGCAGTGAGGGACCACTCATCCCATCAGAGGAAGGCAATGCCCACATTTACACGGGAATGGAAAGGGAAGAGGATGACAGGGAGATTTAGGGGCCTGGCCAAGAGTGTCTCAGGGCACTTTGGTAGGGAGGCCACAGGGCCACAGTTCCGGGCTTTAAACACAGCGTGGAGAAGGTCATGGTGATGTTTCGGTCACACTGTCACAGCAAGCACCACTGGCTGGGTCTCAGGGTTGCATGCAAACAGGAAAAAGGGCAAGGGCCTGAACCACCCTCGCATCAAGCGCAGATCCAGAGGAAGCCCATGGGGGTTCAGTGGTTCATTGCCCCACGCTGGGGAGAACCTCAGCGCTGCACACTCACCCTGCCTCACCCCGAGACACAAGGCTCCCTGGGGTCAATCTTTCTCTTACTCAGTTTACCTGTACTGCAAAGAGCAGCCCCAGGTCTCAGAAGCCCTACTACCACGAGGTCTTACGCCGTTTTCTGCTCTGGCTGTACCTCCGTTTCGTTTCCCAAAGGCCTCTGATGTTTTGCTTTTTCCCTCCACTGCCATCACCAAGAGATGATTACAAGAGATCTCCCATGTTAATGTCCACAGCTAAACGCAGGAGGAGAGGAAATGATTTTAGTGAAGCCAGAGCGACCCAACCTGAAGAGCCCGAGAGCTGCTGCTGCGGCAGGGCAGGCACACGCTGCGCCCGCAGCCAGCTGGCATCTCTCGCTCGTGCTTGCCTCTGCTGCGGCACGGAGAGCTGCACGTGGGCTGGGGCCAGGGGAACCCAGCCACAGTCCCCCTTCTCCTTCTGTAAAGGACAAGAAAGGGCCTGCAGGAGCTGGATCTACCTTTCGATAAGAAAAGGCAGCCTTCTACAAATCAAGTTGCAGCTAAAAGCAGGGTGAATTACCTGAACAGCAGGAGCAAGTTCAGTCCCCAGTGCTGCTACAACTCGTGCTTGCCAGCTCCTGCCTTTCCCTCCAAAGCCCCAGACCCCCGTGCAGCCAAAGGAAGACCTGCCAAAGAAGAGTCCATGATCCAAAAGTCTCCAGAAGAGAGAAACATTCACTCTACACCACTAAGGGACCACTGGTAATGGCAGCTTCCGAAAGGTTCCCACCACTGTTCTGCCTCCACCTGCTGATAGGAAAAGCAGGATACTGCTAAGCCCTGCAAGGAAAGGAAGAAGATCCTTGAATCAATCAATCAACCAACCTTGAGTCAACCAGCCTTTGGGACAGCCAGCGTATCCCATGCAATTCTTCAAGCCAGTAAAATGAACCAGACCACAGCTGAGCTGGAAGAGACCTCAGCCTTGCTCAGCAAGAACCACACAGGCCTGCCTTGTCACAAGAAATACCGGTGATAAAACTGTTTGCTACCAAAACACTGTCACTTAGTGCCCCAGTGACCTCAGGGAGCACTCAGCTACAAGGAGGGGCAGACTGATGAAGAAAAGCATTAACACCCCAGCCCCTTGGGGCACGCAGTGGCAAGGGAAGCACAGAGCACAGGGCCGACCAAACTTGATTTTTCTCTTGGCCACTGAGCACACGTGCCCCAACCAACCCAACCCTAGAACCGCAACCAGACCTTTAAAGAGGTTAATAACAAATGTTTATTTTCCTTTATTAAAGAGCAGGGTGCAACCATCCCGCTGTTAATGGAGTGACTTCATGTTAATTTACAAATTGTTCTCTCTGCTTTGTTTTAAATGTAAGACAACCTGATACAATGCATTTCTCTAATTCCTTTCATCTCAAAGTGCTTTACAAAGTGACACTGGGGGGGGGGGGGGGACGCACCCAACCAACAAGGTGGCCGTGGGGGGGGGGGGGAATCCCACAAACCAAAATGTCTCCTACACGGAGAGATCATCTCATTACCAGTGCTGCAATGCAGCCATGACTGTTGTGCAATGTAGCAGCTAATGGCACAGGATGACATGTAGAGATCAAAAGGTCAGGGGGAACAGATACAAGGAGAAACTGCCAGGGATAGAACTTCTCTGAGCTGAAATCTGCAGCTGGGAAACGACATTTCTATTTTCTCCTCTAGAAAAGTTGATGTCAAATTGCCACAAGTCTTGCAGACACCACCAAAAGAGATGCAGGTTTATCACTAGCTCAAGACCGAGACAGACTCTTACCCAAAGATGTATTTTCCAGGCTTCTACTCCACATTTGAAACATATTCCTTTGGTGAAGAGTAGCAGATGTACACACTCATCTGGCTGGGTGAGCAGCACGAGTTGGGGGACTCTGCTGTGGGAAGTGAAAGCAGAACTGGGGTGTTAACAACTCTGACTTGGAGGTCAGCCCTTTCTGAGCTGAAGGAGGTGGATTCAGAGCTAGTAGGTATTGTCGGGAATGTGTTCTCCCAGCTCCGGGGATGACGACTCAAGTTTTACATGGCTACTAAACCTTGGCAAACAATATCATAGCTCTAAGAAAAGGAGACCCCTGAGGAGCAACTCAGCAGCATACTGCGAGTGTGCTCAGTGACAGGAAAGCTTGTGCTCGTGAGGGTCTTCTACAGGAAGGTTTTCTCAGATCTGCTGTGAAGCTGTCCTTGTGTTAGGTTCCAAACCAAAACTTTTGCCTTCCCTGTTTACTCCTCCCTCCCCTGGACAAAAACACAGCAGCTCAGTTAGTTTTCTTCCACTGAAGATACAGAGTTCCTACTGTAGCATCCCTCAGGAGAGGATGAAATTTAATGGAGCTGAGGATGGTGATCTGTTTCTGGGCACCAACTTGCTAAGATGGGAGTTACGATGATGGTAGAGGGACAGGGTGACACACCAGTCAAGAGTGCAGAAACGCCACGTGAGATGAAACCCCCAGGGTGGGTGGTGGCTGAGCTGGTTCCAGAGTCACTGAAAAAAGGGCTAAATCAGCTACAAAACACTGTCATGGCTTTAAAACAGTTCTGTGCAGACAAACCTGGGCCTGAGCTCAAGCTATAGAGCACCTCCGTTTCACAACGGCTTTGGTGACCTCCTTCCCAGCACATTTGAGGCATACAGGAACCGCAGCCACATCCCTCGTGCACACAAAGATGTGCAAATCTCCTCACTGGGGATGGCAGCCCAGAAGAAGCCGGGTTTCCCAGTGGACACGCATCTCTAGGTCTGACACAGTACTAAGGAGGAAATCTCGGGGCCTCAAGACTGTACCCAGCCTGGGCATGCTCCTTCTGGAGACATAAAGAACCCAGCCTGGGACCATGGTTTCTATCTAAACAGTGGGGCCAGTACTGCCCAAAGCTACCCTGAGAGCAGGAACAGCTCAAAGGCATCTGTCTGGGGGTGAGGTTTGTATCTAAGAGCACCATGGGGGACTTCTGCACCAGGGACTGTCACAAGGCACCACCCGTCAAGGTCTGCATCTGCCTGTGACAACTGCAGCAGATTCTCTAGACCCGGAGAAAACGTCCCACAGGCTGCAGGCAAGCTGCAGCCGGCTGCGAGTTATGCAGTTTCCCTGCTCACTTTCTTCTGCCGAAGGCCTCACGTACACAGCTCTGGCCTCTGCTCCGGCTGTTCCCCCAGCCTGGATTACCCAGTACCAGATCGCAAGCACAAACACAAATCCCTCTTTGTGACACAGTTGGCAGAAAGCTTCTCTTGCAGGAGCAAGGAAGTACTTGGAAACAGGCTGTTCATGGCTCTCCATAAGATTATTGTGTGCTGCTGGCATTTACAGGGCCATTAGGGGAGTAAGTGGTCAGCAGGACCTAGGTGTGTGGCTGGACGCAGCACCCTCCACCCCAAAGAATGAGGGGAACAAACGGACAGACAGCCAGCATCTGTCCTGAAAGGCTTGCTTACAAAGAAGGTCCAGGACTCCTGCCTTGCACAGGGCTGGTCTCAGAATATGCCAAAGCAGACTGCATATAAAAACAAAAGTTTTAAAAAAAAAAAAAAAAAGGATATACACTGCATATAGGAGACTCCAAAGAGGACAGTCTGTAGACAGCCACCCCAGAGCAGCCAGGGCCAGCCCAGCTCCGAGGCAGCAGCTTGACAGCTGCATTCCAGTCACAGTTGGAGAAGTGGGACAACTGAAGGTGGAATTGTGCTTCTTGCTCCTTGATCAGCTTCAGGCAGCGGGAGGGTGGGGAGAGCGTAATGCCCACTGCAGGAGAGGCACTGCATTCATCTGTTTGGCAGACGATGTTTGACAAGCCGTTCATACGGGAGCGGTTTCCTTCTGTGCTCAGGCCTCTGCTTACATCTCACTGGGATAAAACCCAAGTTTGGCCAGAGACATCTCCCTCCGGAGCCGCATGACCTCCCAGTACATCAGCTCCACTGCAAAGCAAAATGGGTGTGGGTAAGAAAAAGAAAAAAAAAAACCCACCAAAAATCAGTAAGCAAGGCACAGCTGGACACCACCTCATGTTATGCTGTGCTCTCAGTGCAGCGCAGCCAGGCTGATCCCCAAAGTGAGGGAAGCAGACATGCTGGAGGGTCCAGCAGGACAGGCCCTTCAATAACCCCTTACCAGCTCCACCCCAGCGCAGAGCTCCCAGCAAGCTGATAAGCAAGGAATAGGTGCATCTATTCTTCCCGATCATGCCTGTCTTTTGTCATTTAACTGTTTCTCAGAGACACAGGGAGTTCAGGATACCCCAAGCTGGCCCCATTCCTGTCACGCTGAATAGGACCTCTTAATTCCTCCCAATCACCCACAGAAGGCATCCCCACTGCAGCCAGCTACTCCCCCCTCTTACCATCCTGCCTCACCAAGCCCTGCTGGATATAGCGAATGTATGTGAAAAAGTTGCACACCGCTGTGATCTGAGGGAGAGAGGGGAAAAAAAAAAAAAAAAAAAAGTCAGCCACAGCACTGCTTTGCCTGACAAGAGGCTTGCACAGCACCCAGCAGAAGAGCTCTTAGTGTTCAGCACCTGAGAAATAGTACCATACACCACCAGATGGAAAGAAATAGGAAGAAAGTTGGTTGAAAAAAAAAAATTCTGGGCATCTGCAATCCCATCCCAAGATATTACACTATCCATGAGACACACTGTGGAAGAACTCCAATCTACTGCAGTAATCACTACTGAAAGTGGCAGCAAAGTCCATGACCTTCCTTCAAAGAGCACTGTTCTCTGACTGAACGAAAATCTTTGGAGTTGAAGGTTTGTGCAGAAAGTGTGTGTGCAGGGAGGTAAGGGTGTTCATGACACGTTACTTTGGTGCAAGTGACAAAAATTAGTCAACTTAAGTCCATGCACAAACCCAACTTTTTGTCTCAGAAATAGTCACGTGTTGCAGGATCAGCTCTTCCAATATACAACTCGGAAAAGAATAAACTTCTAAAATACTCCGTTGAATCATAGCCCCAACAGCAACACTAACAAATCATTCACCTTCGCCCTTCCCTCCAAAGAAAGGGCAGCTTGTTCTCATAACCATTTGAGTCACTGACCTGTACTGGAACAGTAACAAGAGCCAGCATTTAAAGAGCAGACAATTACTGTGTTTTACAAGGGAGAATTAAAAAATAATAATAAAGCATAACAATCAAAGCCCTGTACTGAATCAAACCATGAAAAGCGAACACACTGAAGACAAGTTGCCTGAAGGAACATAAGGCAGAGCACGAGAGCATGAGGCAGGGCTAGAGACGTGCACCCTAGTCATTGACCAAGAGCCACCTCGACTTCAGGAACAAACTCAAGCCCCGCAGGTCTCTCAATTTGAAGACTGACCCAAGAGCTCCTCCATCTCAGGGGTTGGAACAATTCTGGAGGGTCGAGGCACACTGGGAAGGTGGAAGACTCACCCTGGCCCTGCAGGATGGTGAAATGTAGTAGTAATTCCCAGAATCCCCCAGCATGATGCGGTGCTTGCAGGTCCTGGGGAGGCCACTCAAAGCACATTTCCTGCACAGAAAGAAAAAACACTTCAGCCTTAAGCAATCTATTGGCACAGCAGAGCACAGCAATTCAACAACCTCAAGACTATCCCAAGAGATGGAAGTGGGAGCTCAGAAGCCAGACACTGTCAGTTCAGCATGAAGAAGAAAAAACATTGACCGATATGAGCCTTTTGCTCCTTGAAAGATTCCATAAATGGCAAGTTTAAGAGACCTTAGGCGAAATATCTGGAACCATGAATTATTCCATGCCCAAGCAAACCAAGGCTGTACCCTTTCCCTGGCAGACAGCCGAAGTCAAAACCACAGGAAATATTAAAGAGTTGAGGCTGGAGCAGCGTATAACAAATGTCATCCGGTCTCTGCACATGTCCTCTATGCTGCAGGCAAGGCTTTTGCTGAAGGAGTTCTGCTCAGGTGTATCAGCTTTCCTGATGGGATGCAAACACGTTGGCTGGGGACCAAATCTGTCTCCAAACAGGTAAATCCAGCATTTGAGCAGAATTTGCTCATGCTGAGAACTCAAAACAAGCCACACCACAGTCTCTATGCTAGGCTCCTATTAATTAATTTGGGCCCGATTTGAAGCTACTCTAGCGGAAGCCACATGGAGTGGCTTTGTACTGACTTCAGGGGGCTTTGGATAAGGCTTGCAGTTCCTAAGAACAAGCCAATCCTTTCTTGTGCAGACAGGGAAGACACTTGGCTTCACAACTGTAAGAAGATTTCAGAGTGAAGAAAATAGTCTTTCCAAGACAGCTCAGCTCCCAGGGGAGACCACCAAAAGATGTAATCAGCAAAGGTGCAGCATGCCTCTATTTTCTTGCCATTTCCTTCTGTTATTTGCAAGACAAATGGTTCCCAGCACCAGCCAGTTGCCCTTCCCTTCATCACCACTTAAAGCAATAAAGCAGAATTTCCTGCTGCATAGTCATCATCACATTCCCCAGAGACTTAGTGCCTGCATGGTGGGAAAAGGAACATCGCTCCCCAGCTGCAAAAAATTGCTCTGTGGGCCATGGAAGATGACAACACACGGGAGCAGATGTTTCAAAGAGCTTCTGAGTCTGTCTCTGTGCTTGCTTTCCACTGCTATCAAGGCAAATATTAGCTAAGAGTGGAAGAATGGCCTGTAGGTGTTCAAGATGCAATGAGAAGTAATCATTGCCCAAATATTAACACAACTTACGGGGATCAAATCCTCAGAAGGTGCAGGATGACCTATACCTTTGTAAATGAGATACCTTTAAGGGGTCCTAAATTTGAGCATTGAAGCACACTGGAAAAAAAAATGAAGAGACCCTGCTGGTCACTCTTGGCTTGGTTGATACCACTTGGTGTAACCCCAGCTATCACAACTGTAGCTAGAAGTAACCTAAGCCACAGCATGTGGACACCTGCCCTTCAGCACTCCACACACCCCAGGGCACTCTGCTGGGCATGCCATCATGAAAGCCAGTTGTCCTCAGCACCTCCTATCCAACATTTTGCTCTAATGCTATATAGGCAAAGTCACATAGTGGCCAACTCACTCCCTGCCTGTCTAGACTCCTCAAACTGTTGCACTGAGCGCTGTACAGTAGGGTACAAACAAGTTGGTCTGGTAGGTCCCAGCTTGGGCAGGGACCCCAGCTTTCTCCTTTCGTTCGCAGCATGTCCAAAGTTGCCATAAAAATCAGTGGTTTGCACCTGGGAAACAAAGGGGGAACAAATTCCTCTGGGGTCCTTTATTGCCAATAGCAAGATTCCTTACCATCCTGTCCGGGTGGAAATTAAACAGGGTTAAAAAGTTAGCTTAGTTCAGCTCTAGCCTCAAAGGTGCTAAATTGCACTAAGTTAGTAACTTGTTAATGGATTAGAGATCTTTGATAAATGACTAAAAAATAAAACACTTCACTTACGTTACAATTTGTGACTGGAACCCACTGTGAAGACACAAAAAAAAAAAAAAAAAAAGAAATCAAAAGGAAACTGGTAAGGATAAACACAGGATGGGTTGTTCTTGGAACAGGCCTGACACATACTCATGGAACAATTTGCCTAGAGATGACAGGCAACACAGAAGAGAGTGGTAGGAAACCTGCATGCGAGCAGCGTTTACTGTTACAGGAACACCTTTGCTTAGAAGGTGCTCTGCTTGAAGGTAAGGGAGGGAAGAACAAAGAGAGAGAGCCCTGACTGATCTTCAATTCAACAGCTGAATAAAATCCCCTATCTTCGTCTGCAATATCACGTCACTCCTGCTAGTGCTCCTTTCCTTTGAGGCAAGCTCAAGTGGTCTGTCACATCGGATAGTCACGCAAGCTCTGGAGCAGCCATTGCCCCAATTCTGATGGCAAGGTGACAGCATCAGGTGGGGAAGGTAATATGCAGCAAGAGAAGATCTCTTCTGACCTAGGCTCAAACCCATCTGGTGTACCAGCAAGGTCAGGAGTGCAAGGTGAGCTCAAACCTCACAAGATGCAAGAACATGAGATAACACAGCTCTGACTCAATCCCTTCACCGTAGGTTATGCACAAACACACCTTTAGAGAACATTAAACAAGTTGCTACCTTAAGGAGGGGAGAAAAAACACCCCCACCCCTCTCTCAAGCCAAGGGCACTAACACATCACTAGGTTATCCCCCAAAACAGTCAGCTACAGTACATCAGCTGAGCTGAGGTAATTTCCCTTCTCATGTAAAGAGTTGAGCTGAACTACCACTGGCCATAGGCTAGGAGAATGCTCAGCTGAGCCCTTCGAACTGTTCACCTCAACTGATGGAGCAAGGCCTGGCCAAACTCCACTAGATGGTACAAAAAGCCCAGTAGCAAGGAGAGGACAAGAGAGCATAAGCACGGTTCCTTACTTTGGCCCACCGCACTCTTCTGCTGACACCTTTATCACAGGCAGTGTCTGGGAAGCAACCGGCTCAATGGTGAGTGTATTCTGCTCCACAGCCACTCGCACCAGCTCTGACAGCTGCGGCAAAGAGGAATGAGTTCAGATATGAATGTGCAAAGGTCACCTCCATAAACGTGCAATTTTGGTGCTGCCAGACTGTGCAGTTTTTATCCTCCTTTTCCAGCACTCACCTCCTGCTTAGTGAAGTCCAGACAAGGTCCTACATCTTCTCGATAAATTCTGTCCAGGAAGGAACAGGATTTATCCACAGTTGGAGATTCCTTCCAGGCCTGGAACTCAGCAAATAAAATGGAGTCGACCTGCAGCAAGTGTCCAAGAGGAGCGGGAAGAGGGAAGGTGGGTGGAGGGAGAGATACCGTATCAGAAGGCATCTGTTACTGTGCAGGTAGCCTAACTACAAAACATCTGCTTTGGCATCTAGAAAGACTCAGACATCACAGAAGTGTCTGAGGGAAGCTGGCTTGCTCCAAGGATCTTTCATCTCCCACCCATCAGCAGTTCTGTGCCAGACTGACACAGCCATACTGGGCTTATTCTGCCAGAAACCTGCAGGCACCTCTCTATCCCATCTTCCTCCAGGACAGGGCAGCACCTCTGCTGAAGGAAAGCCGCCACACAACCACCAAACAGACCAAGTGCCCACTCAGCCCATGGCAGGAATGATGAGCAGCTGAATGGCAAAGCATGGTGGCAATGGCACCCAAGACACAGAACCCTTCTGTAAGGAAAGGACTGCTACAGAAAAGGATGAACTGGAAAAAGCTATTAATAAACAGCCATCAACAGGACTACATTCAGTGAGCCCAATTAGGAGCTCACAGGGTATGCCAGCCCTTTAAAGAGCCCAGAACTCTGGTGTTTGGGGAATTGCAGAAGTAATGGGAACACTGGGCAGCCACGCAGGCTTGTGGAGGCAAGGTGATCGTAGGAAAAGAGGTTTCTCAAAGGGAACTCAAAGAGTAGGAACAGCTTTTCCCATTCTAACATCTGCTCATTGCCTTTTACAGGTGGGCCCGCAAGAATTATCACTGCTCAAAAGGACAGAGCTTGCTCCCATCCCCTGAGCCAGCAGGAAGGTTGCTCCCTCCATCCCTGTCTGGCTGAAAATATTTCAGCCCTGGAGACTCTCTGGGACCTGACATTTAAACCCCAGATGGATCATTAGCAAAATCGACTGACAGTGCATCTCCTTAAAAGGCCAGCAAGTCCTGTTAAAGCTGCTGAAAGGAAAAACAAAACTAAAGAAACCCTGCTGAGCAACACAAAGAATGTAAGTGAACAAAGCTGAAAAAGGTCTGGGTTCTAGCACATTTGCTCTATGCTATGGAGACTGCTCACCTGGCACCAGGAGACAGCTTCAGAGCCACAAGATGGAAAAACAAATTGAGAAAAACACAAAACCAAACCAAAACAAAAAAAAAAAAAAGGAGGTTAGCATAAAAGGAAGCTAGAACTGAAAGGCTGGAAGTGTGAGAGGCGGATGGGTCCCACCCGTCCCCAGTGCTGTCCAGAAAGGTTACCTGCCGCAAGGATGAGGAAGCATCTGCCCCCAAGTCCTGCCAGCCTGGTTCATAGGTGATGTGGATAGCCTTCCCAGGGATGATACAAAGGAGCAGAGAGAGGAGAGTGGGTAACCCAGACTTTGAGGGCAGAGGAAGAGACAGACAGAGAAGGAAAAGGTTTAGAAAGACAAGCAAGAAAGGGAAGTAAAAAAACATGAGACAAAACAGAAGATACAAAGAAAGGCTCAAGTCCTCCCTTCCAGGGAACTAAGCGTGCTGCTCAGGACATCACAGGGCCACAAGCCACACCTTTTGATTTCAGCTTGAGGTGCAAAAAGGGAACAGAAATTTTGTCATTTTTAGGCTCATTTTAAGATGGGGCATGTTTTTTCCCATAGAGCACCAACTCTCTGAAGGCCACGTTCCCTTTTCTCACCTCTCACAGAAGCCACTAAGGAATTTGAGAGATGGCAAGTAACAAGTTAACAAAAAACCACCCCACCCCTGACATAAAATTATTAGCCACTCTGGAAGCTGTAGCCCTGGGATCTTAAGCCCCAGGATATCTGCACCATGTGGAAGTTAGCCACACAAACAAATGACAGGTCCAAATCTTTAACAAGCAAGTCACTTACAAGAGCTAGCATTTCTCCAAAGATGGCCAACACGAGCTTTGCTGAGACTGAGCCAAGAGCAGCAAAATGCACTACTCAGTAGGCAAAAGTTACCTCTGCTTACTGTATGCAGAGGGCAACTTCTACGGGGTAGTCAGTGGTTCACCAAACTGGGCTCTCAGTCTGGAGCTCCTTTGTTCTGACTGGAGGAATGATTGCATTGGGAGAGGTCACACAACCTTAAAAAGATTAAAACCTTTTTCTTCCTGGCCCTCAAAGCAGCTTCTATCTGCCTGCCTTTGACTCCAACTTCCAGCATGTCTGGACTGTTCCTTGCTTGACCAAGAGAAACCAGTGCATCAGACCTCTGCAGTTACTGAACTGATTTTTTCCTTTGGCTTTTTTTCTGACATAGCCTTTGTTCCTCTCTGCCTGGGAACAGAGTTAAAGATCTTCACCTCTCGTTGCTATTGCTGTCTCAGGACAATGGCTACAGCCAATGTTGCCTGAAGCATTTCATCCAAACCCTAGCAACAACAGCACTGCACAGAAGCTGACAAGGCACATTCATCAAATCCACTGCCAAAAAGGAGACGTTACCAGTGTTGCCAGCGCGGTCCTGTTTGGTGAGAGTATTCATTTCACAAGCGGCCCTTCTGCATACGTTCTCACACAAGCCAAGTGACCAAGGTGCCTTCGTGTTCCCTCAACAATTCTTCATGACAGAGGCCACAGCTCCCAAAAAAATCACTAGGGAGACATATTCCCCCACCACATTCTCACTCATTTTCATTCTTCCTGACCAAGTACCATAAGCCGCCTCCTTTTTGCTCCCCAGGACAGCTGTGTACACATCTGGCTAGTGGAAAGTTCCCAGACGGAAACGTCCTGCTAGCAGGAAGAAGCGTTACTTACACCCATGGTCACAGCAGGTGGGGGACTATCAAAGGATTGGCAAAGGGAATTAAACAGGGTTTGTTTGAAAGATACTCTCAAAACGTTTTGTATGCTTCTCTGCCCAGTTCCTTCCAGTGAGGAAGAAATTAAAGTTATTTAATTAATTAAATGCTCTGCAAAGAAGAGGAAGAACAGTGACATGCCCAAGAATACAGAACAAGTGACAGAGACTACAAGTTGATGGATGTGTCCTGGTGTCCAAGCCAAACTAGTCAGAGAGAAGAAACATCAGCAAATCACGCCAGAACAGGTAGCGGACTCAACTGCCAAGATGCAGCAACTCCTGACATATCCACTCTCGGCACTGGTAACTCCCGGATCTGTCCATGCCCTCCAGGGATCCCTCAGCTGTTTCCTCCAGCACTTGTCCTGAAGCAGCCTTCAACATGCTTCCCAGAAGAGGAAATCCCCACAAACAGAAACCCTCCAGAGCCTGCCTCAGCACAAATTAAGGGAACAAGCCACATTACTGCACAAACAGCCTCTCCCAACACAGAAACCACAGAGCTCTCCAGGAAGCCCAAGTCAGAAGCCACACAGCTCCCTGAGCGCAGTGACAGCAGCGGCTCCAAGGCCGATGCAGTGAATGGTCCTCACCCACCTCTTTGCACTCATGACTGACTGGCTCTGGAGTCACATTCTGGCAGGCAGCTGAGACCATCGCGCTACTAGTGCTTTTGTTTCGCCCATGGCCCTTCCTGAAGACAGCTTTAGAAGGGCTCTGGAGCTGAGGGTGCAGCTCCCGGTTCGGAGAGGAAGGTGTGGATGTGATCACCAGCGTCTTCAGAGCCGTTACCTCTGCCTGCAGCATGTCAATCTGAGGAGACAAGCCAAGAGTCAACAGCACCTTCAGCACCTTCTGAGCTCAAGCTTGCTGCACCCCACCAAACACTAAAGCCACAGGGAACCAGCTACAAGCCCAGTTGTGAAGCCTTCTCCCCATTCTCCAAAATGCCCACCATCACCCAGAATTTTAAACAGGGCTAAACAGCAGCTATTTGGGAACCCATCCCACTGCTCCTCAGTCTGAGCACATTTTGCCCCAGGCTCTTTTTAGACCCAAAAACCCAGAAGAAATGTCTCTCCTCAAGAAGGAACCAGTTGAGCAGCCCTGTGATGCAGCCTCATCAGGAAATTCCAACTCTCCAGCTCCCTGCTCTATCCATCCCCGCAGCTGTGGCAATTAAACAGCATATCGCTTCTCTGTGGTTCCCCTGGCATCCATTTCTCAAAGGGGAGCTGGATCAGCAGCAGACTGCAAGGATGCCTTTTCCCCCCTCACTCAGTGTCTGCTGGAGAGAGAACAGAGCAAATGCAGCATCCCGGAGAGACCAAGCTGCAGGCATTTTGCTCCCCTCCAGCCAACAAAAAGCACCGCAGCCAGGCTGGGTAGGGATGGCACCAACCTAGCACCGAGATCAAGTCACAGAGAGTGCAGTTCTCACCTTCCCCCGTGCCTCCCTCAGCTGTTTCTCTGACGCCGCCTGTTTAGTGTTTGCTTCTCTCACCATCTTGTGCGCTTCCTGGACCAGAGAGAATTTTAGTCTGCCTGTTGCAGCTGCAATTCATAAAGCCATCACGGCAGGCCAAAGCTCTGCCATATCACATGCTCTGGGCAAGCGAGCAAGGGGACAGACATCACTGCCACATTCAATGGTTTTACTCTGTCAGCCGCAAAGAGCCTTCCACCAGAATTTCCCAGAGAAGGCTCTCAGTGCCAAAGCCTGGAGCGCATCCCCCTTATAGAAGCATAGTTGGCTAAATTAAAGCATTTAGCTGGCTGAGTCCAAGGTCATCTCTTTCACTGATATGGGCTGCTGTGAAGAAAGCTCGAAGCGAGGGCCTGCCCCTCCTTGCCCTTGGGAATTGCTTTAAAGCTGAGGCTTTAACATTAGCACCCACCTGTGCTATATCACAGCTGCATAGCAGCTGTGTCTGCACCCACTCCAATACCTCTGTGGCTCTGACCTTGACTCAGACTCACTAGCTCGGCTTCCTGACTCGACCTCAGGCCTGCATTGTCACTGCAGACTTGCTGGTTGATCACTGGACTGTTTTCTGACCCTGATTGCTGTCTGTGGCACAGATCCAGACTTGCTGCTCCACGTCTTGGCTCCTCACTGGTGAGGTCACTGCTCTTGCCTGACTTGTTATTGCACTTTGCTCCCACTTCCCTTGCGGAGCGGCCAGCCCTCACTGCTCTGGGCATGGCTGCAACACAGCAGGAGCTGTAGGTGGGGGCCAAATGGTAGAGGCTAGCTTAAAAGCATCTTCCATGGGAGGAGGGGAGCACTGCAAGTCCCAGCTGGAGCCTCCCTGGAGCGCTGTCGGGAAGCGGTCTGTCCAAGGCCACCAAAGGAAGGGGACAGCCCTCAGCTACATTATCTCTAAGTTCGCCCTGAGCCCAGGCAGCCAAATCTCCAGGAGGGGAATGCTCTCTTGGCCCTCAGGCTCAGCAGCAGCCTGTGTTTCAAAGGTACAGATGGGCTCTGGCTTTCCTCACTGCCCAGTCAGATCCAGACATTACAGCTGCTGGTAAATGGGATTTTGCCAGGATAGAGCTTGGCAAGAATCACGTTACCAAAAAAACCCAACCCCAACCAACAGGCCTTCTGAACACTCACTGGAGCAGAGTATTTGAGGACATTCAGCCTGTTCCCACCCCAAGCAAGGGCTTACACAAGCCAGGGAATCATCTTTAGTACACAGCAGCTGCTGTCCAGACTACAGAACAGGCATGGGAGAGGGACAGGGAGCTATGCTTAGCTCCAGCTACAGGCATCCCTGCATCTGTTTTTGCTACCAGATGTACAGACCCATACTTACTCTGCTCTTTATGCCACCCCACAGCTGCTAGAAGGGGAAAGACATGCAAATGCTCCCCAGGAGCAGGTACAAGCCCCTGCTCTGAGGCTCTGCCTGCAGCACTGCCCAGCTCTGCTTCTCCAAGTGGGAAAGAACAACAGGGGAAAGGAGGAAACTGGTGGAGGAGATGGCTGGAAGTTCAGGGAAAGCCTGTCTTAAAGGAGTTGGATGTAAGCTTAGCTTAAGAAATGATGGGAAAAGGAAGAG